ACGACTCAAATCAAATGCTGTGATTTGTATCTTTTGAATGTCATAAACAAGCATTATGCAAGTTATCAATACCTTTTTTATATTTGAGAATAAACTTAAACTCTAAGTACATTTTCTAATTAAATAAAACAATCTAGTCTTCAGACTTGATATTTTTTTAAATGCTAAGTACTATTAATTAATAATAGATTGTCGGGGTCTAGAATGTTCTTTCATTTTCTTTATTTTTTAGATGAAAAGCCTCGTCTAGGTACTTGTTTGTTACTTTAATTTCTTACCATTAACCCACTTACTTATGTCCTAAGGACAAAGCTCCATTAATACAAAGCCCTTTTGTAAAAACAGTAACATCAAATAAAACAATGTACGTAAATAAACGGACACTGTTATACGAATATTTTATAAAAAAAGTCAACAATCTAAAGGAGAAGAAATAATTAAGCTTGGAAGAAGCAATCCGAATTAAACATCACTGACGAAATCCTCTCAAGGAATTTCGAGGATTTCTGACATAAATAGGTTAGGGGGACGCATGTTTATTTAAAAACTCATTCTTCTCAGTTGTCACATATGAAGTATGTTAATTTGCTATGTATTCAAGGTGTGCTAAAAATAATTTACTAAATACCTACTTAGTTGATATTATATTTTAAATACTTACAAAAAATTCTAAAATGACATATTACTCATTCACTCATTAACATAAATTTTAAATCCCTATCATCATTCACTAGTTGACCCACGCAACTTCGTCTACATTTATCATTGATGCTCCGTTCTTATTGGTCAAAGTATGATATTATATAGCTTTTGACACTCACATGAATATGAGTATCTCTGTTTCTAGTCTTTATAAAGAATTACAACTGTATTACTACACTTAACATAGACATCTTCTAAAAACGTCTGACTTCTAGACTTTATAATACAACTGTACTCATATATTTAACATAGACGGTTTCTAGTATGTCTTATCATTATTTTTTGTTTCAGGACCCAGTGAAGAAGCATATACAAAGAACATAACAATTATACGGGCGGATTTGGCAGTGAAATTGCACAAAATCCTTGAAAACAAGACACTGTTTGAGGTATTTAGAACTTTTTTTATAGTTCTGGAATAGTAAATTAGCTGGCAACCCTATTGAAGGTCTGTGGTAGCTTTTGATTATAAATGTACTACTATGATCTATTTTCTGTGATATCTATGGTAATTATCCTATTCCATATTTTATAAGTAAATAAATTTATATTCCATACTAGCTGTTCCCGCGACTTTGTCCGCGTGGAATTTATTAATATTCTATTTTTCTAAAAACTGAATCTAAATAAAAGTAGCCTAAGTTACTCCTTATTACATCAGCTACCTGCCAAAAAAAGTCCCGTCAATATCGGTCCAGCCATTTCAGACATTAGCCGGAACAAACAGACCGACAGACAGACAGACAAAAATGATAAAAAATGTTATTTTGGTATATATGGTACATATACCAAAATAATGCATGTATCAAAAATCGGTTATTTCAATACTACAAACAGACATTCCAATTTTATTTATATGTATTGATTACTAACTATTATATTATTACCTGATAGTTATTATACCTTATCGTATAATGTTTAATAATCCTTTTTTGGCAAAGTAAGTAAATGCTATGAAAGTATTAACTGCGAAGGAATGTTTATATCGGTGATTGAATAAAAATTACAAATCAATGATATAGTTTTGTATGAGTATGATATAATGAGTAAGAATTATATTAGAAATATATTATTTATGTTTTAACTTTAAGTAAATACAACAATAGTTAATCTTTGTAAGAGTCTGGAGTCTCAATTAGGTCGAAACCAACAGATCTCGAAGTCTCGGACTATTTTGATATGGATACATCATAGAAGTGCAAATCGAAATTTAAATAGGATCAATTAGGCTCTGTTGAGTTGAATTTGGTGGCGGAATTTAATATGCAAATTATCTAAATGCAATTATTCTGTTTAAATACATGTGTCTGGCCACAATATGTCTACTAATAAGAGATCCCATTCCAAAAAATAATGACAATCAGTAGATATAACCAGAGGTAGACTGAATACTTTATGCAAAGTCGTCTGGATGGAATACCTTTGCATCACATATTTCAGCCATCGAAAATCAATTTCTTTGTAAGCAATATTTCAGTTGATGGGTGAGATATGGCAGTGAAATTATGGAGTATGGTGGCATAACATCTTAGTCCTCAGGAATATGAACACCTGAAGTTTATCACTAGCTTCATAAGATAATGTGATGTCCGTGGTGCTATTCATTTATATAAGCGGCGGTACCACAAACCATCAAGTGTGTCGTCGTAGATGAATGTGCCTGTCTGTTTTTACACTGCATCTCTTATGTAGCTAGTTTATAAAGACTACAGATGCTTGTTTGTTCCACAGAATGATAATTATCACGATATCATCGGGGTCATAGAAAATGATTTGATTGAGTATGAACAGAATTATACAGAGCTGAGGAACCATGTCAATAATCCTCATACTGACGGCAAGACGTGGACCTTCTGGAATGCTATGTTTTACGCTGGAACAATTTACACGACTATAGGTTTGTATATAATAACTTCTATTACGTATAACTTTCATTATTCTAATCTGAAATGGATTAGCTTAGTGTGATGAAATTAATTAATACTCGATTAATATATGTATTTATATCTGTATATTGACATTATTTCTATTAAATATTATATGTATAATAAGACCGAGTTAATATAATGTCATCTCCGTGGATATTTGTTATATCTACGTATTTCAACCAAGCGCCTTGATTCGATCTGCGTATCGGTGGAAGAGATATTACAGGGTATACTTTAATACCCTGTAATTTTAGTATGACTGTGAACTATACAGGCATGATATCTTAGACTTTCAAGAGGGCAATGCGTGAGTGGTGTGTAGATAGTCACAAATACTTTCAAATAGCGCCTATTCCTTTATTCCGAGCAATGTTGCTATAATAACACGCGATGTTTTCAAATTCTATCAGGCGTTTACAATTGTGTCCATAAATACGAAACATGCGACAAAACAAAAGCTTCAGATGCGCTGAAATCTAAGTCGTTTGCATGGAACTGCATTCGTTAGCACGTACAAAGCTTTGAACAAAACATTATTTGTTTATTTTTCGCTACAGAGGTAACAGCCAGGGACAAACCTTTTGTTTAGTTGAAAACTAATAAAGCCATTCGTAATTAAAGTCTTTATTTTGGCGTAAATATTCGAAGCAATTCCCTAGAAGTGTTTAGCTAAATTGGTTTTAATTTAAATAATTAAATACTACTTCATTGTTTCAATTAAGTAGTATGGATGCAAATGTTATTAAAGTTGAAATAAGTATCTGCCATACATAAACTCACCTTCCTTTGAAAGTTTTAATTGGAATTTTCAGTATTTTCCTAATACATATGTCTCTTGACTCTATATGTTATAAAAAAGTTGTATAATATATTACACTATTTGTTTTCGCGATATGTACAAACAGTTACTACTTTCCAAAAGATTTATTCCGTTTTTTTGTAAATTACTGACAGACTGTAATATTAGAGATAACTGTATAAATAGTTATTATATACGGATAGTATAAAATTTGACAAATAAATGGACTTATGGCTGTAGTTTTTGGTATGTGGAATTATTATAAATATTATTTTATAATATTAATAATAATAACAATAACCCTGAACATATCGTAATGAGCTAACTAGTTACAATCTATGCAGAGTTTGTGTTACAGATTTTCTTTATATACTTCTAAAACACGCAGACCAATACAAACAATCTTACTAATGTATACAAATGTTTGCATCGTGCGGGGATCGACTCCGCGATCATCCGAATTAAAGCGGTGTGCTAAATCCTATAACACCGAGGTCGTCAAATTGTTTATATATATTGCTTCAGATTGATTCAAATAAATACATATATTGCTTGAGATTTCTACTTAGCGATGGTGGTGTAACCAGATGGCGTAAAATTGCAGGTAATAGTTAAATATCAAGATATAACGGATTGTGCAAAATAAGATAAAGTTTTAACAAAATTACTACTTAAGTATCTATTAGACTGGAAATAGATATCTGCATTAAATATAAATCTTTTACATAAAACTGGACTATCACGCCTGGCGAAAAAATATACATAGCTTACCTAACACAACAAACAAAAATACCGTCCTTTTTATACTTTTTGAGTTGAGAGAAGAGAAAGAAGTGATCGTTGTGTTACAAGTTTATATTTAGATTTCATTAATATATTTTTTTTAGATAGCAGACGCCAAATTATTTCAGCTATTATAATTATTGTATTAAAAATAAGCCGTTTTGGCAATATTTTTCATTGCAGCTCTGTTCCCATTGGTCCTATTCTGTTGTCCTGTCCTGTTTGTTGATGTTGTATAACAACCCATAATACTTACATATATATAAGTCAATATAATATATAATTATAATTAAGAGATTACCCCCTACAACATCACAAACTTTATTTATTTGTAATATTAGCATAGATTTAATCGACCTCCTTTAACAAATTCCTTTAGCTGACCTCATTAATGATAACAATATGCGTGGGAATAAATTGGTTCTTAGCGAAAATTGTTAGAAATGGGTAGTTATAAAGTACACGTTCTTTCGATGAGATTGTGAAAAATACATTAATAACAACTATCTTATTACAATATCAGTAACACTCAATATGGATATAACTAAACAAATCGAACTACAATCCGAAGTATGCTATTGATACATCTCTAATTTTTGCACCAATATATATTGACCCATCTAATAATCAATTTCGCACTTTTGTTTTGTATATTTTTAAAGTGGCGAGTGTATACGGGGATCACGTTATTTCTGTGGATACTTGTTATCGTTGCGATGCACACATACCACCGTAGTGAATGTAGGTGTAGATGTTTTAAATTTGGATCTGTGCCCGGAGCTCAATGATTTCGCTCAGTCACAAGACCAAACTATAGGGAGTCTTTGAAATTACGGGACACGCACTTTTGTCATATAAAATAAAATTGTGCGAATATAATTCATTATTTATATGAAAATAATTTTACGAAAGAATGTGACAACGAAGTGATAAAAATGAAAGCGTCTTCATACACGGTGTGTTTACGTTCATTACAGAGAAGCGTCCAAAATAGATTCTTTTCTTAGACATCTGATTTGACCCCGATACAATAAAGAAGTTTGGTGTTGACTTCGGCAGTGAACGGTAAGTTAATTAAATTTATTCGCTGATAACGTCTTGCTCAACCCTGTATATTTGTCTCTTAAATGATTGGCAGAAAATATATTGTCTATTGCCAATTGCCAATATAATCGCTCGTTATTATCGTGTAGCAGTACGATTAATTCGCCATTTACTAAATAACGTTCTCTTTTTTTCAGTAGCTGTTGTATGAAAAATCGTAGTTATGAATGAAGGGAAGAATGAAGAAAATATAACCCTTACAATTCCTATTATAAAAGCTGAATCCGAAACCCAAACAAGTGGTCAATTGGTACCAAAGATTCCCAGTACTAGTAATTTTACAGAAACAGAAATGGAGAGTGAACAAAAACAAAATATGTCTATTAGAAAACGAAGAAATTTATCAAAAAATCGAACCCAAGCTGCAAGGCAAAGGGAAAAAACGCCAGAGCCTGGAAGAACCCCAATTCATGAAGATACAACTACCTCGGATGATGAAGATAATCTACCACAACGCAATTCTAGAGAAATAGAAGCTGATAGTACCTATGAAGAAATGAAACGACTAGTTCAACAAAAAGCAAGTGTTAAAGATCCTGTTTATGATTTAGATACAGACGAAGTTCTTGAAGCAAGGGCTTTGGCTGCTAATGAAAGAAGACGTAGGAGTATCTCGCCTTTTGCTTTACCAGATAAAATTGAGGAAGAAAGCAAATTAGAACGCAAGGGTAGTTTCATTGATCCAACTAATAAATTACTAAGTACTAATTATACTATAAATCTTAAAGATGAAGACAAACATCGTCGAAATTCTCTATCTATGGAAACTCCACAAGAAAACAGATCTTCAATGTCTCCTCCTACGCCTAAAAATACATCATCTAAAGATAATGAATTTACATACCCCGCAACTCCTAAAAAGTTAGAGGAGATAGTTTATCCAGACGAAAAGAAGCAAGATGATAAACATAAAAAACTAAAAACACCAGTAAAAAATGAAGAAGTGTTTACATTTGATGATAAAGATATCAAGGCAAGCATGAAGGCATCCACTCCAAAAGCACCGGAAACCCCTGTAGTTCCTGGTGAGCTGGTAACAAAAGTTATACAGGTAGAAAGAACCCCCAGTAAGAAGTTAACAGCCGACAAGAAACCTGTGGTCGAAGTAAGAGAGAGGGTTGTTAGAACTCCAAGTAGAAAAATGTCAAGTGATGTCAAACCTATAATTGTAAGACAACCCGTTTCTAAACCAAAGGAAGATCAACAAACTAAAGTGCCTCCCGTGAAACCGGCGCGGAGTAAATCTGCCACGAGATTTGGGGTCAGTTTTTATATAAAATTATTTTTGATATTAATTGTCGCTTTATTAATAGCACTATATTTTCAACTGACATAAATCATGATAAGGACTGATCATCATGTTAATAGTTTATCATTGCCTCGTAGCTTAAGAAGAGAAACTAATTTTTTACCATAATAATATTTGCAGAGTAAAACTAGTGAGAGTGAGATGAGTGAAGATCAAGCGAAGCAACAAAAATCTAATACACTGGAATCAAGACGTAAAGTTGTACCAACACCACGCCGTTTTATGAAAAATAGATCGCCAAGAGCTAAAAGATCTCAATCAGCTAACAGAGTTGAACCTATCCAAGTGGTAGACAGATCCGGTATGGGTATGAGTCAAACTAGTAGAGAGATTATAGAATTAATGCAGATAGCTCGAGCTCGGAGTTTGTCTATTCCGAAAGATGATCCAAGACTTCCATCTGAATATAAAGATTATAATAAAAATTTGCGAACTCCCACAAAAACCCCGTCTACGCCAAGACATTCAAGAGGTATTTCATGTCCCAAAACTATTCAAATAATTAGTGACAAAGAAATATTGTCTGGCCTGACGACGAATCAGAGAATAGATATAGAACATGAAAAGCGTAGTAGACAAAGCTCAGGCTATATAGATGCCAGCCAATCTGAATATACTTCTAGTTGTTATTCTACATCTCCTAGTGAAAATGAGTATGATTTTGACTTATCAGAAAGAACTGCCGAGTTAACTCATAAACTAAATATTTTAAGTCAAAATTCCGATGATCGCAAGACTTTGAGTAATATACTATTAGCTAACGATAACTTTGATCAGCCAAAAGCAGAAAATCAAATTATACAAAAACCTACTCTGAGAAAAAGATCATTAATAGATAGTCAAGTAGACGATAACGAAAAAATAAAGGCGGAACCTCAATTAGCACAAAAACATACACTAAGAAAAAGATCTCTGATAGATAACAAGAAAGAAACGAGCCCTGCAGAAGTAGATAATAGCATTAAACCAATAACTGAAGACAACAAAAAACAGGTAAAATCAAAATGGAAAATCATACAAAATTGGCAGCAGTTTAAACAAGAACATTCAGCAGAATGTAAAAAGATAAGGTTATTACGAAACAGATGTATTTCAGATTTAATTCTGTTAATAATTATGTGTGGTTTGGGCGGTATGATGTTTAGAGCTTTAGAGGGATCTTTTGAGAATGCATACAAATGTGGAACTAGAGGTGTTAAGCGCGATTTTATAGAAAGTTTGTGGAGAGGTAGTCACTACATGAGAGAAGAAGATTGGAAATCGATGGCAAGGAAGAAACTATACGAATTCGAAAATCAATTGCATACCGCGCATGAAGCTGGAGTTACGTCGTACAGTGGGCAGAAGTCATGGAACTTTATGAACTCATTTGTTTATTGCTTGACTTTAATTACAACCATTGGTAAGGTTACAGTTTGTTATACATATTTCATTGTACATTGTCTTTTAATTATTGTGTAGTATAATGTATATACTAGACAATATTTAGATTTACATTATATTTCTATATAATATTTTATTGACCTATAAGGTGTTTTTTTTATAATATTACTATGTAGTAATAAATAAATTTTATTACAAAGTGAGGTATTTTGTCAATACTTTGGGATTTAATGTACAAAAGCATATATAAAATAAACATTAACATGGCTTTTATACACATGAATATCTTTGATTGACTATTTATTAATTTCATTTTTATTTTCTCATGCCCTGCAATATAACTTTCATGTATAATATTAATATGAAACTTTGTCAAAATGATATCTTAGAAAATTCAACATTACATCTTTTAATAAATTGTTACCCTGACAAGGCGAAACAAATCTCCTTGCGTAGTTATGATCAAAACTATTATATATTTTATTACAGCAGAGCACATTTCAATAACATATTTAAATTATTCACGTTTATTTCTTTAACAATTACAGGTTATGGTCACATAGCTCCAAAGACGAGGTATGGGCAAGCTGCTACCATAGTATACGCAATTATCGGTATCCCATTGTTCCTGATAATTCTAGCTGACTTCGGTAAACTCTTCACACGGATCATAAAGTTCTTCTGGGCCTTTATAAGACGATTCTATTACACTAGAAGCTGCAGGAAAGTTAGAAGAACAGCGCCTATGCAGGTATGATTTATTGTGATAAATTTAACTACTAAACTGTTATATCTAATATATCAGTGACCAATACATTGGTGATGAAATACACCAATCACAAACTAAACACGAAACAATTCTTGGCTACCCCATCACGAGTACCAGTCATGAAGATATGGATATCGATATGCGTGTATATTATTATAGTAGAGTGACATATCTACTACAATGTTAGTCTAGCAATATTGAACACTTTTTCAACTTGTCACTATAAAAATAATTGAAAGCCTAGTAAAAATGTGTGAAATTGAAAAAGCTAATTTCATAAAATGCTATGTAGTATTCAGAAATTAATATTATATAAAGGCGAACAAATCTGAAAAAAAATGTTGTTCAACTGTATCGTGAAATTTATTCCATCTTCATCTCGATATCATGTGAAATAGAATCGTATTAGTAATGATTTTATCACATGCACTCGTAGTTATTATTTCCTGAGAGTAGAATTAAAGAAGAATATTTTTAATTAAATTGTCAATTAGTCGATTAACATACACAGTGGTAGAATTCATAGTATTTTATTTAATAATGATTAATATTTATTGCTTGCATTAAAAACTTACAAAGTAGACATTATTTTCTACTATATATTTGGAACAACTTTTATACTCTGTTTACTTACCTTCACATAAATGTGTTGTATATATGAATGTTGTCTAGTTAATCTTTTGTTTATTAATATTTTGATAAGTGGATATTGCTACTCGTGTATATATATCAGATGCATACAAGATTCTTATATTACTATTTCCTCATATAAGGTATGCTATCAAAAGAATTATTATTTATGAACATAAAAGCAAAGGAGGAGCTCAATGTTAGAGATATTCGACGTACTTTAAATCTCATCCTTACTTTAGAATTAGGTGAGATCACTATTTGTGTGTATGGCGATTAGAATAAAACACATACAAAATTTTCAGTGTTTCTTACCACAATACGTTAGTGAAAATAACACCCAATTCAGTTAATGCGTTTCAAAGCTTAGCGCGCACAGAAGGACTATTACGTTGATAAAATTCCCCAATAATAGTTCTTGTCTTTATATCTTTCACATACAGACGGCGATCAGATAAATATCAATTATATGTATAAAGTTTAGAATACATTTGTCAGCGAGCACTGCAGCTTGCAAATACTTGTCGACCATTGTTGTATTAAATTGGTGAGATATAACAATCACTAGCCAGAAATAATGTAACTCGTCTTGAGTTACATTATTTCTGGCTAGTGATTGTTATATCTCACCATTCTTGCAAGAAAACGAATAACCTGCTCGACGACATAAATTGTAGGTACGACAGAGATACTCACGCAGGTGACATTATAATAATAACATTTCACAGCAAAATTTAGTCTCAAGCCAAGCAGAACTTGTACATATTTTGTATTTGTATTGATGTCATACTAATAAATATAAACGCGTGCATTATCCAAGGAATCGAACCAGCGACATTAATTGGATATTGGATGTAATAAATCTATAGACCACTGAAAACGATTATAAACAGTCATTCTCAGGTTTCGGAGACATTTGCCCTCTTTTTGCAATATACGATTGATAACTTTAGTATTTACTTATTATTTTACTTTCTTAGCAATTTGCCAGGCCACGCGCACACAAAAACCACAAGGGACCGTATTTCAACATTCTTCTTTTTCTGTTAACATTTATTTACCCTCAGCCTTTATTAATCTTGCTCTACAATCAACAAACGAGCAGTTATTTGTCAAGAAATTTTTCGTTACCATATTGTTTTGAAAATATTAATATTTAAGGAGAAACAATAAGAATGTTTTTCTTTTATTTTGAGACGTGTAATCATTACGCTCCGAGGTGTACGCGTTTGTATTCATAGGAGGCTTTTGTTTTCTTAGCATCTTATCTCATCTAACAATGTTTCTTACAATTACAGGAGGTCATGAAAGGTCTGAACATCGTCTATGAAGTAGTAAGACGACCTTCGCAGATCTTTAACGAAGATGAAATACATAGTCATCCAAATGGTGAGAATGGAGATGACGCCGATAAAAAGGACGAGCAACCTCCTGCAATAGAAGCAAAGCCAAGTGATGTACCACCACCTCTTCCTCCCAAACCTGGTACTGTTCCAGATGTTGATGTCGAGACTGATCTTGGTACACCAGCGCCATCTGTCTTTGAAATCGATGATGAATTCAATCTGCCAGTGTCTGTGGCTGTCTTCATTCTTATAGTATACATTTTTATTGGCGCAGTTTGCTACAGTATGTGGGAGACTTGGGACTTCTTCAAGTCATTCTACTTTGTTTTTATTTCTATGTCAACAATAGGTCTAGGAGATGTAGTGCCCGACCACCCCATGTTTATGATGTCCTCTATACTGTATTTGATCTTCGGTTTAGCATTCACTTCTATGTGTATTAATGTTGTACAAGTTAAATTGACTGATACGTTTAAACATGCAAGTGCAAAGCTTGGTGCTACTATAGGTTTGCAGGTTTCTGATGAAGATGGAAGTCTTGTAGCTACCACTCCCGTTCCAGTAGAAATTGTACCAGTACATAAACCAAGAAATGAATTACAATCACAAGAAAGCAAAAGTAAAGAAGAAAATGACCAAAAAAATAGATAAAATAATTAATTAGATAATGTATTGGTACTAATAGTTGCAGTGTCATAAGTGATATTATTCTAATTATGATATTCCGTGCTTAGAGATTTTGTATTTATATAGCTTCCTACTGTATTATTGTTGCCAAATATTATTATGTTTATTGAATCTAGTCATTTACTATATTAAAAAAATATATTATTAACAAGTAACATAAGTATCACAGTGTCAAAATACATGTAGGTAATATGAAATTTAAGAAACTAAAAAACAAAATTGATCAATATATCGAAACAAATAGGCATTACGTAGAAGTATTTTTCTTTGAGCACCCTTGGTTTAAGTAGCTGTGGTATTTTAAGTACCAGTGTTGTTATATGAACGTCGAAAACAAAAAATATGTGTGGTGCTCTGATTATAATATTTAATTTTGCAGTCCTAATTTTTGTAAAGCCTTATTGTTTACCATCAGACGAATACATAACAATTAGAACATAATTGTTATAATCGCCTGAGATCGATGCTTACCAAAAGAATAATCTTTTTACGCCATTTTGGTAGAATTCATATACTGAAATTTAAGAAACCAAATTACTTTTAAGTAAAATTTTTAGTATAATAATGTTTTCTAGTATTTTTTTACTTAAAGGATTTGAAATCACAGCTGTTCTGTGTTTGAAATAGTGTAAGAAAATATCTTGTTATTAATATAATATTATATTAATAACAAGATAACATAATATAATATTATGTTATAGTATAAAAAAGTTCTCATAACGTATGTGTTAGAATAAATGACATCAAATTACTAGTAACTTTTAGATGATTTTTGTATGAACTTCTATAATAGTTTATACAGTAATTACTTTTATACGTAAGAATATTTTAACACGTTGAACGCGGCAAGTAGCTACATATCTGACGTCTTGCACCTGGCAACATTGCAACCGTTATGATTCTTTTATTGGTATTATTTATATCCAAAACTAGCTATTCCCCGGGTTACAATGTTAATTTAAAAGAAGTGGCGCCCGCCCTAGGTTTTCGTGTCATTGCATAGCAACGCCCGCCCACGATACGCGTATTTTAGTTCGTATTTGCTCAGCATTTCTGAGTTTTTATGTCTTCCTCAGCACCATATCATACCAAGATAGTAAAGTGTCTAGGGTATCTTTCTTCAATAGTTACTCTGTCGTTTCGAGAACACATTCAAACAAACAAACTGTTTACCTTCATTACTAACATGGTACTAGAAGGCGGTTATACTGCAATCATGCAAGAACATATGTATGTATTCACAATTTTTTAAAGTTATTGTTCCTATTGGCAAAATATTATTTATAGTCAGTTTAACGTGTTAAATTTTGTTGATGTGTGTAAAAAAATATATTTATTATTATTGTTAGTAAGAGTTTTATTAACCTATTATTTATATGATATTTAGCATGGGTGCAAAAATTAATCAAAATCAATATAACTTTATTTATGTAAGCCTATTATATCTGTTCTATTATAACATCTGTTCGTCGTGTAAAATATTTAGTTTCTATATGAGGAACCAACAAAATATCTAAATATATTATTTTCTAATGAGCTTGTACATGATAATGTACACGAATATATATTTTCGTTAAATACAGAGTTATGTTAAATTAAACTAGGGAGAATATGACCAGCAAGTAGTTGGTTTATTACAAAAAATATATAAACAGTAGTCCGAACAGACCAGCCCCCCGGCTACAACCGATCACGTGTTTGTCGGATTCCCAACAGTCATTGTACTAACGTAGCACAATGAAAGTTATTGTAGGTATTTCTAATTTTTGTCCTACTTTTGCCCACTCGCTTATAGTTATACAAGTATAATATAAAATATTACATAATTTTCCTATTCAGTATTGCTACATGTACATACATTTAATTATTTACAGCCACAATAGCAAACCAAATGAATAACACAAGATTATTATGCGAACAAAATAAGTACGTGAACGTGATCGAAAATATTCTTACATTACAGTGAAATCCATTTAATAACAGAAAATTACAAAAAAACACAGATGGGGAAAAATCTTTTCATCTGCTTTTATTTTTCAGCCACGTCTGAACGAACAATCGATAACATTTTTTTAACCCATTGTTGTCGGTAATGGAAACGACGTCTGCCAGATCTCAAAAGCTTAGCAGGAATTTAATTACTCTGTAATCCAGCGGTGAATGTTTGTCGGCCGCTTTCCTTACTGCCTTTTCGAGAATGCCGATATTTAAACTTATTTGATGAATATCTGATCTTTTATACTTATAAGTGTTTTGTATTGAAATATTAAATAATTATATGTTAAAGTTAATTAAATCGGTACCTTCTAATAAGTCTGATAATGATGATACTTATCAACAATAACTCTGAAATTAACATTATCGTTTCGTAAATATTTGTAATTATGTGAACTTGGGAGCTAAACTAATAAACTGAATAGTAGATACAGGACAATTTGTTTGTATTAATAATTTCTAATAAATCCTAATGACCCTGGACATGATTATCACAACATGCTATCTAGTACAAAACAATGCAGGAATCAAACTTGCGGTCATTGGTGGTCAAATATGACCACCGCCACGGAAAGCGCTATGGGAACTTGTTGTTTGGCGTAGTCATAGGTCGGCGAACAGGCAACAAAAGTAGGCTTCCAAACTCTATTAATTACTTCATGATACCTCGTTTAGAGGCGAAACACGTGTTGCACTAAGACTATATCCGATAAAAGTCGGAGTTTAATCACTAATGTGGAAAGTGGTGGGCAGGAAGTGGTCCGTACTGAATGTTTGTCTCATGCATGCGGAATTAGAAAAAGGTATTGGTATTAAACAAAATAATACAAATTCATTAAGTATAGATAGGTGGTTAAACAGACTAAGGTACGTGTATAGGCAGGATATTTAACCGCTACATCACCTTCAAGAGGTTTAACACAGCTGTGCATACAACATATAAATAGTTCGATATAAGTACCGCCTCGTTATATGAAAGTGAAGTTTTGAATGTGGCTGAAGTAAAATATGTTTCTTACATATTTTACATACACTTTATATTACAAGTTTTTGGCTCTCTGCCTACTCTGTAGGAGACTGGGCGTGAATAAAGAAATGGGAATATTTTTCAACCACATTCTGAAAAGTAGAATATTATATTTTAATATTAAATTTTGAAGTTTGCTAACTTTGTCGATAAAAAAGAAAGGAATTTCGTCAAATTCCACAAAGTTTGATAGCCATAAAATACTTTTGGTTATTTCCCAATTTCAGCGATTCATTTAGTACTGTATCTTAGATACAACATTCGTAAACAAATGTACAAATAAGTGTAATATGGATTGCCTCGTAAGTTTAATAGGTTAAATGTCCTATATTTTAATAAAAAATATCAATATCATACACTTAAAATGAACAAATTAAAATTAATAGATATATTATGTCTATTAACTTCTCTAAATATATGACTATAACTATATATGGATTGCAAAAATAATCGGTAAAATTCATTCAATCGTTTACCGATTCATTCATTTTGTAAAAATATAATGTAATTGAAAAACTACTATTGGTCGTAATATATAGTTATATTTTGTTATTGTATATAGCTGCAAGTTACACAGGTATAAGGATCTATGAAAACAAGGGTAAAACAGATATATTGAACATAACGGGTCCTCTATCCCAAATATGTCTCTTCTTATAATTAGTCAAAGTTGCTATCAAATTGTGAAGTTTATTTTTTAAATTAAATGTTAAATAACCTGTATATTCCAAAATAAATACTCTTTTGTAATATCTTTTCATAACATTACTCACTTTATACTCTACATCGAGTAATTGGTATAATGAATTATTACACCACGCAATATTGTCAGTTATAGTATTCATATTTATAAAGTTCAATTTCGAATAATATTCAATTGAAGCTGAAGAAAATTTGTCATTGTTCAAACCCTTTGTTATAATGGTGCGTATAAATATATATTGCTTTAGTACATTGTAAAGTTCAACACCATTGAAAAGACAAGAAGACCAAGTTACATCATTACCTGAGGAGGGTAATCGATTACATAACAAACTATTTTTCACATCTGTGCTTAAATAATTGGCAAAAAATACATCTTCTTTATGATTAGCATCATCATAGACAACCCCTTCTTTGACTTTTTTTATAAACAACAAATTTATTATGAGACTAGGTATTGACGTTGGTAGAAGTTCACATACCGGGTCCATATGACTGTATCTTGACCAACCAGTTAATATTATTCCTTTGAAATTGTACGTATCACCAGTTTCACCGCCAAACTTATAATTCCAAATGAAGTTAAACCAACTCAAATGATTGGCTAATCTATTTTGTTCACTAGGAATAATTGCAGTTCTCCCATCAGCTCCTTTGAATGCAGATGCTATCCATATATTTGGGAACTTCTTATGATATTTCATGAGATTAACATGTGATACTTTAACTTTAGATTCATAATCCCAATATACAATTTCAATGTTCCGGAATTGGTGAAAGTCAATACTGTACCATTCTTTTAATGATATATGACGAAGCATATCGTCCCATATAAGAACAGTTGTTTTTTCCGACAAGTCATTTACAATTTTCGTAATTGTTATGACGTGATGGAGGAAGAGATCTCTGAAAACGTTTAATAACACATATACATTTTTATATGTAAAGTTTTATAAATAATAGATTAATGATTATTTGGGTAAATACTCTTTAACTTTCTAAAATATTATTCAAATTATTGTAGGTTAAAATATCAATTATAGAAATATTAATAATTACTTTATCTACTAAAACTTAAAACACGAGTATCATTAAATATGCACTTTCATAAATGGAAAAAGTAAAACTTCATTAAAAATTTAGTTAAATTTGAATATAATAATTTAATATTTTGCGCAAAATTAAGTCTATAAATTTTATACTAATAAAATTTAATGAGGCATACATAAATAATCGTAAGAATTTTTAATTTACTTACGTAGTCGACAGATGCCGTTTTTTACATTGTTGACACTCATTTATATGATAAACTTCATCACAGCCGATATGGATGTATTTAATAGGTACAATACTTTTATGAAATTCTACAACCTGGAATAATTGCCAAAATTAAAAAAAATAAAGCATATATAACCAATATGTTAATATGCAATAATATATAATATGCATGTACATATTAAGTACATTTATATATATAATTGGAATAGCAAACAAGCTGACGCAAATTATTATGGTAAGTAGTGATCGTCTCCTATATACATGAATAGAACTTACACGTAGTTTTTCTAATGGACTTTGATGTCGTGCCTCTTATATCGTAATTTCACTGCCTAATCGCACCCTACAACTGAAACACAGCTTACAAAGCAAGTTGCTTGACGGCTGAAATAAGTGAAATTGAGGTACCCACCAAGATGGGTTTTTACAAAGTATACCTTATAAATATGAAAAACGTGAAACTGAAAATTGCTGTGCAGTAGTACTTATGAAAATTATTTTCTTATTGATAGATTCTATCTTATCTAAATCGATTACGAACGAAATATCTAATATCGATTATACCTTTGAGGAATAAACTAATATTTTTGACTTTGACTACTAATTTTCAAATATTTGGATAGCATATCTAATAGAAAATGGTTAGTATACTATGACCTCAGAATAGTTAAAAAAAGTGCCATAACTTCGTACTCAGTAATTTTCCCGCTTCAAAGAGGAAATTAGCTAGCAATTCAAGCTTCTAACATTAGAAGTAGATATGGTTGAGTTAAACATACGGATGTCTTTGTATACAGTATTAGCAAGGATTACGGATTTGATACTTAGTCATAATTATTATAGAGTTTCCATTTTAATTATGCCGTCTTTTGTTTTGCATTCGTATTGACTATAACCGACACAAGTTGTTGAACTTACTTGTTGTAAGACGTGCCTAATAAAACTCAGACTTGCAGCCTTGTTAGGACATATAGAGTCTGGATACATTTGTACCTCTCGTAAGTGCATAAACTCGGGTAATTTTAACGCGTACTCCAAATGCCCAAATGTTTGTATTAGAGGAATTATTTCAAAGCCAAATCGGTGTGCATTAGCGATAAATTGTTTGAGCTGAAAAAAAAACATATTAATAAACTGTATTTTTTTTAAATAGATGAATTAGAAATGGTGCATCCGCCTACGCTGGCGGGGCACCAATGGAGCCTGATAGTATCAATATAAAGTTACGTCAGATACCGTGGCGAATTTACAAGGAATTAACCATGACAGTTCTATAACTAGGGCGAAGATAGGATAGCAATTATGAAACTAATCCCCACTAATAATTTCTCTCCCCTCCCAGATTCTCTTAATTTAATGTATATAACATTCACAAAATAATTATGATATTTGTTTGTGTTGAATGAACATAGAGATGCATGTACAATTGCATTACATTTATAAATTATGTTACCTCTTTGTAAGAAGAACATTAATATACTTTATTGTCATGACTTGTGTTTATATTTAAAATAAATAATAAATATATAAAATCTATTTAATAAAAACCGTAACATCTCTCTTTCTCTCATCATAACTTAATGATGAGTTTATGGCTTTACAACAAGAAATAAAATAAAATACATTAATATTTGGATAGATAGGTTGAAAACAGAGAAGATCACATGACTAGTCAATTTTATATAATAACATATAGCAATTAAAAAAAAAATATTGCCATTGGAAACGGAAAGCTCTCCAGAATCAATCTCAATCTACCAGATTGATTAAATTGTGAAAACGTAAAAGTTCGATAATTTCGATAGCTTATTTATAGTCCAGATCCTTTTCTTACATTAAATTATAAATTACCTCATATTTGTTGTAACAGTTCTTTGCGCTCAAGTTGGCCAGAAGTCCTTCATACGGAAACATATCTTCATATTCTAATAGCAGTCCATTTACGCCGTGTGATTTTAGCAACGGTAATAGTGATTCTAAGTACTGCAACTTCGGTGGGGCTCCCTTGAAATCCAGATGAACCACGATATTTGGTAAAATAACAGAAGATAACTGCTTCGTTCTTGTACTCAGTAGATTATGCACAAAATTATTTTTAAATGTCACGTAAAATATATACACAGATACAAATAATAGGATAATAATTATATATTTTACTTTTAAGAATATTGTTTTCGCGAACACCAAACGCATTTTGGGGATTGATTTCAAGACAAAAAATGTTTTAAAGTAATACAATTATTATATATGTATAATTAAATAAACTATCCTTCCTACGAAAAATAAGTATAGGTACGACAGATTAAAAATTGTTTATCGATTCTTTGTTAATTCTATATTTGAAAAATATCTTATTATCCCAATTGTCTTTTGTTTTTATTCTTTTAAGATATAATTTGGAGTCAAAATAATATATCATTGAATTGGTAGTCAAATCGACACTACACATACACTTGGATATAAAATAAACACTTAATTTTTCACTAGATTTTTCTTCGTAATGTACGTACGTACGTAAGACATTTACGGACGAATAATATAGAATGGAGTAATACGGTCAATACCTTAGAATTTGTATGGTTTCTTTTAACCGACAACATTGCATATAGAATTGTAGATTATGCCGTATTTTTTCATCCATTCTAATATTAAACATGCAAAATGTATTTGTCTACCTATTTATTTGTTACCTATTCACTATCTGTTAATAATAATAATAATCTCAGGACAATTCACACAGCGCCACCTAGTCCCAAGTTACACTATCTAAAGCTTGTGTTACGGGTACTAGATAACTGATACAAATAAATAGATAATTTTTATTCGTAAAAATTCATAAAAATCTTCCATAGAAAACAGTTAATTGAATGTAAATTAGGCATCTGAACTACATTTACACTTTAGCTTTGTTTTTATTTAAATGCTAAATATAAATGGTCTCAGTGGTCTAGCGGTTTAGGACACCGCTTTACTTCCGATGGTCGCGGGTTCGTTTGTACCATGCGAGGAAGCACGGTACAAATATTTCAATTGATGATTATGATTGTCTGTTTGGGTGTTTTCTATATATATTATGTATGTATTTACAAAAAAGTATTTATATAAGTTGTCTAGTACCTATAACACAAACTCTGCTTACCTTGCAACTAGATGAGGTTGTGTGAATTGTTAAGGGGTAATATTATAAATTATTACCTATATAGTTAACAGTAACTGTGAGTATAAAAATATTTATACAATTTTGGTTTACATATGAATATTGACGCCTGTCTATAATGGAGCATACAACAAAAATTATGCTTTAAACTTAATTGAAACAATAAATAATCGGCATGAATTGTACGCTACTATAAATATTATTGTATACCTATGTAATTATTATACATATAACATTATAAATCAACATCTACCACTCAATTCACTGAAGCAATACAAATAATATGAATATCATCAGCGTAATAGATCAAAATTATGAGCATGGAATAATCAACAAGACAACCCTTTCTGGGAATTGATCAATTTAAAGTAGCAGCTGAGTTTACGACGTCACAATGGAGAATCCAAAATATAACTTCACAACAAAGTAAAATAGATCTATTTCCATTAGAATAATAGTTAAAATGCTTTGTGAATACACAAACAAGGGCTGAAGATGCTGACAAGTTGCTTTGACGAATTTGTATTATTCACGGCAGAGGCAATATTCCTTTATAAATTGATTAGTAATAATCAAATAATGTCTATATTGATGTTTACAAGTTATTGTCACTGTTCTATCTGTGCAGATTGTATTCTTGTAATTCAGCGCATGAAAGTTTATTCAAAATATAGGTATTATTAAAATATATATTTATATGAAAAAATATACCTTGTGAAAGTATATTTATCACAGATGGGGTAGTCAAAATTGTCAGTTGTTATGGTGAATCCACCACTTCACGTGCCTATTTAGATGGTACTCATTTTTAAATCCGCCGTAGCAGAGAGTGACTTACCGCCTTCTCATATTTATTTGGTTTGACATCGGTGTTTCAATTACCGAAGAGTCAGTCATACATGTAGGTTTCCGTCGGCTATATTAAAATTTAAGATCTTTGGGTCCAATTCAGTGTAGAAAAGTTGAACGAACAGTTTTGTTTTAGTTTTTTATTATTATTTTGATTATATTTACAAATTACTGTATTTTTCCCATTCTTATGGGTTAATGTTGCATGCCAGATTCTGGCGAGGAATGTGGTCACTACTAACTATATAAATCGTGTAAATTTTTAAGCGAAATTAAGATATTTACAGTCCTCGAATTTGATATTTAAATACAGACAGAACCAACTACAATTCCAGCCGCAAGCGATGATTGATCGATACAAACAAACTTTGTAACAAAACTAATTCCACTTAGACTATACAAACCAAACCGGAATTCAAAGCAAGTTCCTGATGTCTACTAACAATTAGCTAAACATCTGCAAGTGTTTGAAACAGTATCGTTTCTACCAACTCAACTATCCTAAAACGTTGTTTGAGGGACAAAATTACTGTATTCGGCTATCAAAGGGAACTGGCCAATTTCGGATTTAACTAAATTTATGGGAATATATCGATTATAGCTATTTAACTCGGGTCTCTAAGCAATTGTTAATTTTAACATGGCTAATAATTATATTGTTTAAATCAATAACAGAGCGATGCAAGATGATGTAGTTTTATTTTATATGTGTGTAAGTAAAAAGAAAACTAGAAAGAGATAGAAAAAGTCTTGGAATACGGAGATATATATGTATTAGGAAACTTTGATGTATAAACTAGAATGTACCATAAAATAACTATACATAATTAGATACATTTAAACACAAGTTTAGAATAAAAAAAACTTTTCTGATTTTGCCAGTACAGTATACAACATAAGATAATAGCAATTAGATTTTGATATTTATCAACTTTTTAATATTAAAATATAATTCAAAACTAAAGCACCAAACCCGTAGCAAATAAAAAACCGTAGAAAACATCTTACGCGAAGAAAATACAGGTTAAAGTTTTTAAAACTCTTTGAATCGGGCATTGAATGAAGAAAACGAAACTTTTATAAAAGAACATTCATATCTTAGTTCTGTTTTTAACGTTAATCTTATTTGTTATGGTTACTATTATGTTATAAGGATTATTATAGTTCCACAACCGGGTTCTCCAGAAATACCCGGACACATTTACGGTAATATCTTTATTTCTAGAAATTTCCGGGAATACTCACGAAGCGTTATCCGCAATTGAGTGTCCTGAAGTATCTTGTTAAGCAAACTGCAGTGAAGTCGGGTTTATTAGGATGGCAAATGGGCTACAGGATATATGGCGTCATTTTACTATCGCAAACGAAATTGGCTGCTTTAAAAGGGTTCAGTATATGCATACGATACAATTTTTTTTGTAACACTGTATCTTATATTTTTGTTGTATTTTATTTCTGAAATGGATTATTTATTCATTAATTTGTTTCGGATATCTGTAGTTAAAACAGCAGGGAAAGCTGCTGTTATAATTGTTTCATCTTCCCATTTTCAATTAGGTCGTCCTCTTTACCTCTTTCCTTGTCTTGAGTACGAAGTATATATGACTTTGCTCTATTTATCCTTTCCACCTAATGTGTTAGATCCAGTGTAAATACATCGGGTCCGTCATTACACTTGATGCCGATGTGGATAAAGATGTCAATGATCGAATAAACACTACTTGGCTCATATGGCGCGGTCACTGTCAGGTGTTCTGTGCGATCCCAAAGTACCCGTTAAGATCAAAGGGAAAGTATATAAAACAGTGGTACGACCAGCCTTAACCTTCGGAGCAGAATGTTGGACTATGAAAAAAGTCCACGAACAACAACTGCACATGAATGAGATGGTCTGGTGGTGTGACACGCCTGGATAAAGTCCGCAACGAGTATAGTAGAGGTTCCTTCAGAGTAGCTCCTATCGTGGAAAAAGTGAGAGAAAGTTGCTTACGCTGGTATGGCCATATCACGAAGACGATTACGTGGTTAAAAAAGTGCTCGAGATACCAAACTCGACCAGAGGTAGGGGCAGGCCATGCGCCACTTGGTGGAATAATATTAAGAAGCAGATGGACCAAGACAACCTTAATATACAGACAACCCAGAACAGACTTCTCTGGCGCAGTTGTACAGGGAGACCCGACTCCAGATAAACTGGGAACATGGGTTGGACAAAGAAAGAAGAGTGTATCCAACCAAGCGGCATTTCAGCTGTCTAGTTTCGACATTGATTGTTTGGGTATATAATATAGAATACTTATACCTAATAATAATTAATTTACTCGTAGACGAGGAAGTGAGGCGGTGTACTAAATCGCTAGACCACCGAAGCCATATGTATGTTTCTATACGGAACCACTATTCAGTGAACTGTGTTTAACTTGACGAGTGTTTTTTATGTCAAACGCTAGTGCGACGTTGTAAACTTTTGTGGGACTGCCACATGTTACGGACACACAAACAAAACATAATGCGCCAGTATATCGTTAACATTGGTAGCTCTGAGTATTGCTGTTTTTATTAAAAAATAATATTGAATTTTTTTATAAATGAGAGATACAATAGTTGGAATATTTTGTTAACTGTAAGGGTAGATTTATTATTTACCAGGTTTTTGTATTGTACTGTGCAATAAAGTATGAATAAATACAATAATTGAGATCTGCATTAGAAAAAATACGTAACTGAATCTAATTAAATTATTATCGCGGATAGTAATTTGTAATCAATATAGGTTTTTCATAACTTGAATAATAAACAAACTGGTCCTGACTGTAAGTAGTAACTGTCGCCTATTTCCATAAATAGCAATACAGGTACTACGCGTGTCTTCCTTCTTGTGGATTTTTTATTATTATAATTGTGGAATTTTTGTTTTTTTACTTTATATAAAAAAAAACATTAGCTATCTGCTAATGAAAGTTCCGTCGAAATCAGTCTAAATTATTTTTTTATGTTAGCACCGTATATACTTTTGATTAGAAATTTTAATTTTATTTACTTGCATAGATTGCCTAGGTCAAGTTTTTGAACATCGGTTTCATTCATAAACGTACATGTACTGTACCTGTACCCGGTACCTGTGCTGTAGAAGGCCATTGCTATTTCGATTTGTTGCAAATACTAGTATAGCTACTAAAATAAAGCG